TTCTCGGTTGGCCCGCTTGAAGCCCACTGTTGGGGGCCGTGTTGCCCGAAATGTTTTTGCATCGGGTGCCATCGCTTCTGAGCTTTTTGGGTCCGAGGTCCACGAAATCAGCGACTTCGAATTGTTGACTTATCGGCGCCAAGCGGGAAAGGTTTTGCAGCCGACATCGCCTGTGGGAATGCCGTTGCCCTGAGGTGGTCGAGCTTCGAGATAAGCTTGTAAAACAGGACATACAAGATTGGGCAGCTAAGGCTGACGACAATCTGGCCTGCTACGGTGTCTTCCCCCACCCCTCCGACTTCCCGCAGCCCCTCAAGTCGGGGGGGCATCGTGGTGGAGTGGACGGAGGGGGAGGGGGACGTCGAGGAGTGGTTCGAGGGTGACGTGTTTGTCGACGGCTCGTGTGCTGGATTCCTGGTGGGGGACCTCCACAGAGCGGGGTGGTCTGTCGTGGTCGTCTCGAAGGAAACAGGCAGCGCCGTGGTGCGAGTTATAAAGGTCCAGCGTGGGCGCCCTGCCCACACAGACTCCGCAGGCAGCGGAATGCCATGCTGTGTTTGCTGCTGCGCAGTGGGCGACAGGCCCTTCTACGATTTTGTCCGACTGCCAGGGCCGCGTGGGCGTTTCGCGTTTGCCCTGGCCCGAGATCGCTTCAAGTAAACAAATGTATAGTGGCATGGCCCAGCATCCTCGTGATCACTGGCCGAAGGTGCATCTGGAAAAGGTTAAAGCCCACCTGGACGTCCAGGCTGCCACCGATGACCGTGATCGATTGTTGCGGCAAGGCAACGATTGGGCGGATAAGAAGGCCAAGGAAGCGGTTCTCTTGCATCCTATGCCGTCGGGGTCCGATCTTGAGGGTCTTGATCACGATGTTGCGGTTGCCAGAGCCGTGGGCCGTCTCGGGGCTAAGCTTCTGGCTCTGTGGCCGCGTTTGTCTTTCGGCCCCGATGTCCAGCGTGTCCCCCCTCCCCCTGCGGAGCGTCCGCAGGGGGAGAACAAGAACGTCCATCAGCGGAGCTGGGTGGGCAACTATTGGCAGTATGCAGCATGCTTGCGTGGCAAGCGTGGTCGTCCTTCGGTCGAGCCTCCATCAGGGAGGTGCGACGCTGTGCTGAAGGTTTCTCCGTCCAGGCCTCGTGAGCTTGGACATGTCTGCGTGCTGCTGGATTGCTCGGACGGCTCCTTTTTGCGTATGTGCCACAAGTGCGGTGATATGACGGCGGGTAGCCAACTTCGCAACCTCGGCATGGAGTGTGAGCCAGACAGGGTGGCCACACACAGCAACCCGTGGATTAAGTTGAAAAAGGGGCTCCATCCCAAAAAGAATGGGATGACCGTCGATTTAAACACGTGTTGCCATCTGTGAGGTGCGAGGCCTTGTTTGCGCAGCGCAGGGCGCACCTCGTTTCAGCCATGCCACCCAAGCCCGCATTTATCTCAGCAGAGGGGAGCGGAGACTCCGACTGACATTTCTTTGTGTGCCGGCAATGTTTGTCACTTTGTGCATTTCGAATCAGACTCATCCGATTGAAGCCGTTTCCCCCTGCGTCGGAGCGGAAGAAGGCGGGCCCAGTTCGCTCCGACCAGCGGCCAGAGGGCCTCATCTGGAGGGCTCCGCCACGGGGGCACTGGCTCATCGGCTGAGTGTCAGGCCCACACCAGGGATGGAGCTTGCCTATCGTCCTGGCGTTCCTTACACCAGGGGTAGCATTGCCGAGTCGTCCTGGCGTCGCCTCTGTTATTGATTTGCGTACGTACGGGTGCGAGCGCTTCTGCACGGGTATCAGGCACCCCAGTTGTGGGGGAAGGTGCGCCGCACGTGTGCAGTGACGTGTTCCTGTGGGCTTGGCACGGGGGTAGATCTCGGCCCTGACCGATGCTATGCCTCAGCTTCTCCTATGCTTACTCTTCCTAGGCTTTGTCCTGGGAGGCTTGCGCATCGTCCTGGCGTTCGTTACACCAGGGGTGAGCTTTCGGCCGTTCTGGGGTCGCTCAGACAGCATTTGTGTGCGTGTGCGTGTCCTGCACGTGTATCAGGCACGCCACTGTGGGGGAAGGTGCGCTGCACGTGTGTCGACTTGCTTCGTGGGCATTGCACGGGGGCGGAGACAGGTCCGCCCTGACCGATGCTATGCCTCAGGTCATGGTTTTGTGTCTTCCTGGCTCAGTGCTGGGATTGCCTGGGGGTTGGGCCTTCTTCTGCGGAGGTGCAGGTTACGCAGCCTGCCATTGAACCCGAGCCTTGGGGTTCCTCCAGCAGTTGCTGCCCTCCGCCCCTGACCTTTTGTTTTCTTCGGGCAAGGTGGACCCTTGTGCACGGCTGGGGTGGTCCTCGTGGGCCCCTGGTGACCGATGCGCGGGTGCTGCCTGTGGAGCTCTGGACACGGTCGGCGGGGGGTGCAGGTTACGCAGCCTGCCGATGAACCCGGGCCTTGGGGTTCCCCCTGCCGCCGTTGCCCTTCTCCCCCCTCCCTTTTCCCGTTCGGACAGTGCTTCCCTGGTGCACGGCTGGGTGGCCTGTGGCCTGCCTGGTGACCGTTGCGCAGGAGAAACCAGCGGGAGCTGTGGGCACGGGGGCAGCTGGGTATCCAGCCGCTCCGACCGATGCTCACTGCCTATCCACCTCTCCTTTCAGCGAGGAGGAGGTCAGCCTCCATAGACGCAACGCCGTCCAGGGTCGGCATTTTACGCCAAGGAGCGTCCTCTGAAGGTTTCGCCGCCCCTCAGTTGTATCGGGCTGCATTGTCGTTGACAAAAAATCCTCCTCCTCCTCCTCCTCCTCCTCCTCCTCCGCCTCCTCCTCCTCCTCCTCCTCCTCCTCCTCCTCCTCCTCCTCCTCCTCCCCTCCCCCTCCACAATTACACAATATGAATACTACTCTCCTCCATCCCCTGATGGCGTGCGGAAGATAGCGGGCACCCCTCCGCGCATTGTTTGTTACACACAAGATTTCCTGGAATTAGGTCTTCGCTTGATTCTTTTCAAAATGATGCTCTCGCTGAGGCGCGGGCTTCATGTTCGGGCTTCCGCTCGTTGCGAATCGTGCTCCCGCTGCAGCGCTGGCCTCATGTTCGTGCTTCCACTCGTTCCGAATCGTGCTCCCGCTGCAGCGCTGGCCTCATTTCCGCGCTTCCGCTCGTTCCGAATCGTGCTCTCGCTGCAGCGCTGGCGTCATTTCCCGTGCCACGCCACGGCATGCAATGCAATGCTAGGTTGCGTTCCGCTGCGCGATGCCATGCCTTCAGATGCAGCTGGCATATCCAAAGCGTAAGTGCCACGTCGTGCTATGCCATGCTGTGCTTTGATATTCAACGCCATGCTCTGCAATGTTATGTTCGGGGCCGCTGTGCGATGTCATGCTTTGCGCTGCAAAACTTTGTGATGCAAGTTTTCGCTACGCCACGCCACGCCATGCTGTGACATACTACGCTTTGCGGTGCTCTTCTGCGCCATGCCATGCCGTGCTCTACAATGCATCGCGTACCCTTTCGGGATCATTGCCCTGCTCAACATCCGACTGTGCGAGTAGAGAAGGGATCTACGCCATGGTAAGGGATGGGAGGGAGGGGTAGGATGTCAGATATGACGCGAGCGCACCTAGCTTGTCCCCTCCCCCTCCCCCTCCTCCCCTCCCCCTCCGGTTTTCTCCTCTTCTTATCTCTCCTCCTCTCTCCTCCCTCCTCCTCCTCCCCTCCCCATCCCGCATTCCACTTCCCCTCTCATCCCCTCACCCCTCCCCCCCCCCCTCCCCCCTCCCCTCTTCTCCCTCCTCCTCCGCCTCTCCTCCTCCTCCTCCTCATCATCATCATCATCATCATCAGCATCATCAGCATCAGCATCATCATCAGCATCAGGATCATCAGGATCATCAGGATCATCATCATCATCATCATCATCATCATCATCATCATCATCATCATCATCACCATCACCATCACCATCACCATCACCATCATCATCATCAGCAGCATCAGCATCAGCATCAGCATCAGCATCATCATCATCATCATCATCATCATCATCATCATCATCATCATCATCGTCGGCCTCGTTTGACGCACATACTGGGTGTCCGCAGCCGAGCCGCCACCGCTGGCGGAGTACACTCGGGAGGCACGGGGCTCTCCATACTGAACAGCGAGGGCCCCAGGCCTCGAACTCGCAGAGTTCGTGAGCGCTCCGCCTGATGCGGCCCCAAGACACAATTCTTGAGCTCTCTTAGGGGCCTCTTGTGCCAGCCTTGTGGATGATGCTATGACAATGGGCACTCTAACAGTCCTATCATTGAATTAATTAAAACTGTGTGTAAAGTGTCGGAAAAATGTTCTAAACATGTTTCGAACATTGCTTTGCATGTTTAAAACATGTCTGAAACATGTTTTAGACATCTGGAATGTATGTTGCAACACGCTCCCTCTCCATTATTAGACTTCCACAGTGCCAGCCCTGAGGGCGGCACAAGAAGCCAAACTTGCATGAAACCCGTCCGCTTTCGTATATAAGTTTAGAACTCCTGGCCGTTCGGACTCAAGGGCGTCCAAGACAACCCAAAGGGCGTCCCCAAAATGGTTCCAAGACGGCCCCCCGAGTCCGCAGGAGCAAGAGCTCCCCAAACCTCCGAGGTCGTGGTGTTTTGAACACGTGATCGCAGGAACTCTCCCCTTCCCCAGGCCAAGGTTTCGTCCCGGGCTCCGGAGGCCGAAGACTGCCGAACACATCTGGCGCGATGTTCGTCGAGCCGCCAGGAGCCCAGGGCTCCTCATTAAGACGAAACTGGGACGAAAACGAATCTGGCTGAGGATAAATCGAGACTCTCTAAGATCCGGAAGCTCTGGAGACGTATCGAGCGCCGCGGCCTCATCGGAGCGTTCCAGAACGCTGCGGGGGCGTTCCAAAACGCTCTGGAAGGAATAGTTCCTCTTCCCAGCCCCGCTCGGTCCTCGTCCTCCTCCACCTGGGGTCGGCCGAGGCGAAAGAGGAGCATGGGGTACTGAGCACGGGACGTCGCACCAGCGCCAGCGCCAGCACAATGGGCCTCTTCGGTGGGGAAGCGCCCGGCCTGCCCGGGAGGAAAAGGGAGGGAAGCTCCCCCCGTCCTCCTCCTCCTTCTCCGCCTCCTCCTCCTCTTGTTCCTGCTCCTCCTCCTCCTCCTCCTGCTCCTCCTCATCATCATCTTCCTTTTTTCGCTCTTCTTCCTCTTCGTCCTCTTCTTCCTCCTCCTCCTCCTCCTCTTCCATTCCTTTTCCTTATGAATAAAAAACTCACCCCTATCGCACCCCGAAGCCAGTCGGAAAGGAGGGCCGGGCGTTGCGCCTGAGACTTCTTTACCACTTATGAGCCTGAAGTTGAAACAATGGCAACAGCTTCAAATATGGGGGGCGGGTCTCTTTCAAAATGCGGCTATCCCATGAGCGCCGAGCACATTCGCTCCAAAAACTTGAAAATGTCACGGGTTGACAGCGGTTCTTTTTCAACATGCGGTTCCCGCCTTAGCGCCGCACGCAGTCGTAAACATTTGCAAAAATTATCCCGGCAAAGCAACCTAACAGCGATGTGTAGGAGCATATCTGGAAGCATTCCCCTTCAGATTCAGATGAGAATCCAGTTGTAGAATTCTGCTGTTCTCGCAGTCGTAGTCGCATTCGCGATGACAGTCGCAGTGGCAACGGCAGTCGCAGTCACAGCCTCAGCCTCAGCCTGCCTCAGCCTCAGCCTCAGCCTGCCTCAGCCTCAGCCTGCCTCAGCCTCAGCCTCAGCCTGCTTCAGCCTCAGCCTCAGTCTGCCTTCAGCCTCGGCCTCAGCCTCAGCCTGCCTCAGCCTCAGCCTGCATCAGCCTCAGCCTCAGCCTCAGCCTGCCTCAGCATCAGCCTGCCTCAGCCTCAGCCTCAGCCTGCCTCAGCCTCAGCCTCAGCCTCAGCCTCAGCCTCAGCCTGCCTGGCCTCAGCAGCCTTGGCATCCGCCTGCATTCAAAATGTGGCCCGGGAATGGAGTTCTGGGAACTCGAAGAACACGAAGTGGCCTACAGTTGGCTCCGGGCATTCAAAATGTGGCCCGGGAATGGAGTTCTGGGAACTCGAAGACCACGAAGTGGCCTACAGTTGGCTCCGGGCATTCAAAATCATGCCCAGGAATGGAGTTCTGGGAACTCGAAGACCACGAAGTGGCCTACAGTTGGCTCCGGGCATTCAAAATCATGCCCGGGAATGGAGTTCTGGGAACTCGAAGACCACGAAGTGGCCTACAGTTGGCTCCGGGCATTCAGAATGTGGCCCAGGAATGGAGTTCTGGGACCTCGAAGACCACGAAGTGTGTAACTGTTTGCTTAAAACGACTTCCGCGGATTCTCCCCGGCACCCGTCCGGCATCTGCCCAGACCCCCTTGGGGCGTCATGATGCTCTCTTTTGAGCCTACTAGAAACCTATCAATCTTCGCTGTTAGGTAAAAAACAATGGATTGAAGGTTGTTCCTTTCCTACATGTGATTTTAGCGTTAGCGCCGCGCACATTCGTTTAACAATTGTTGGCGAACTTCACGGATTGAGAGCGGTACCGTTCTAAAATGCGGCTCTCGCTTTGGCGCAGCGCTCATTCGCTTTCAAAGACTTGGAAAAACTTCACGGATTGATGGCGGCTCGTTTTCAAACTGTGGCTCTCGTGTTAGCGCCGCGCACATTTGTTCCAGAAACTTGCAAGACTTTCAGTGGTTCGCCTGATTAACGTACCAGGAATAATGTTTTGGAGCGGCTCAGGACTGTCAGGGCGCAACTGTTAGGTTGATTCGCGGCGTTGGCGTCCCAGGAATGGTGTTTGGATACGATTCTGGATCGTCGAGACGCAACAGTCAGGGTGACACGTGGCGCTGGCATCGTGGAAATGGCGTTCTAGCACGCTTCGCGATCTTCACACGGCTGTCCCCCAACTCCCTTTCGCGGACATGAACCCTTGCACGGGCATATGAAGAGGGAACTTGGAGGGAGGCCGTACTCCGATATAGTCGATGACTCTTGGGTTTACACAAGTCCTCTGCCTCCTCCTCCTCCTCCCCACCCTCCTCCCCGTCCTCCTCCATTCCTCTTCCCTCTGAGTAATTCCCCCCCGTCGCACCACGAGGCCAGTCGGAAGGGCGGGCCGGGCGTTTTTTCGCCTGAGACCTCGTGACATTTTTTTCCAACCCTCCTTGGTTGGGTATTCGTTTTGAATGGAGCGGTGTGGTCGCGTCCTCCTCCCGCCCCCCCCTGTGGTCGCCGTCCCTGGGGGGCTGCGATCTGCGAAACTGTCGCCACTTTCGAGGGCTGCTGGTGGGTCCTGCGGAGTGAGGCACCGCACGGATCTGAGCAAGACCTCGCCGTGCCTGGGGGGCTGCGATCTGCGAAACTGTCGCCACTTTCGAGGGCTGCTGGTGGGTCCTGCGGAATGAAGCACCGCGCGGATCTGAGCAAGACCTCGCCGTGCCTGGTGGGCTGCGATCTGCGAAACTGTCGCCACTTTCGAGGGCTGCTGGTGGGTCCTGCGGAGTGAGGCACCGCGCGGATCTGAGCAAGACCTCGCCGTGCCTGGGGGGGCTGCGATCTGCGAAACTGTCACCACTTTCGAGGGCTGATGGTGGGTCCTGCGGAGTGAGGCGCCGCGCGGATCTGAGCAAGACCTCGCCGTGCCCGGGGGGCTGCGATCTGCGAAAATGTCGCCACGTTCGAGGGCTGCTGGCATTCAGACAGTCTGCGATTGCCTCTTCTGCCGGGGACGCACCCTCACCTCGAGGTCCGCCCTGTTCGTCTTCGAGACTACTCAGTTCAGGGCCACATGGTGCCCCAGCTGAAGGGCATGCGGTCGGACCAACCATCGTCAACTCTGCATAGAAAGTGACACAAGAAATAAAGAAGTCACCCACGTCATATTCCATGACTCGTACTTTCCGCTTCGGGCCCGGCACGAAAGGTTTTGGCGGATCTACGGCCTCCGGCACACTGACGCAGTCAGCGACCTCTTGTACGAGGCTCGCTGGGGCGCAGAAGCATATCGGGCCGTTCTCAGTGTCAGAGCGGCATGGGGTAGCGCATGACATGGCCTCGTTTTTTCTCCTCCGAGTTGGCCACAACGGTCCGATGGAACCACGTCGCGACAGCGCCCCTGACGCCATCTGGACCGTCCGAGGCCAACGCATGCAAACGATCCCGGCGAACGATCTCCGGGCCCCGGAGGTCCTCCAGTGCCACCCAGGTGCGATAGTCTAGGGTGGTTCTCCCAGCTACCGTTCTCCAATCCGGCCCGAAGGTAACGACGCCTGATAGAACCGAACGCCTGGGTCGCACCTGGCCCACGCCTGCTGGCCAGCTGTTGCAAGCTAAGAGTGATCGGCATATATCTCGGGGGTTGCCCTCCCCTCAATCACGACGTTCGGGTTCGTGAAACCATGCTCGGCCACAGCCGCGCCCTCGTCTTTCTTTACTGTATGGGGGGGGAGATCCAAGGCAGCCAGGTCCGATCCTCGCCTGTCATCCAGCGGTCGGAGACGCGACGCTCGCGCCCCAGGTATCTCCCCATTCGAACGGAGGACCCATGTCGACCCCATCCGGCGCCGACTCAGACGGGCAACGGACGAGGCCCAAACCTTCCTGAATATTGCCCGCTGGCCCCGCCGGCTTCAAATCATCCACACATGTGATCAGGGATAGTTTCAGGCACGGGTGGTAGCTGCTCTGCCACGACTGCATCGGCACGAATCCTTTCGAGAGCACGCGCGTCTCGCAATGATGCCCCCAATATCCGCCAGCGCCTGGGCGCCCGCGCAGCGCCAACCACGGCGGACGAACAGGGGCACGCATGCCTTACCAACTCGGCGGCCAAGCACCTCCTGGAAGTCTCACCCGCGCCGGGCTTCGTCCTAAAATGCATTGCGCGAAACCCTGGCACGCACCCGCCTGCTGGATGTCGCGATTCAAAAACAGCCCATAGAAGTCGGCAGCCGCCCTCGCCTGCACCGTGGCAGGACAAGATAATAACTCCTGGTATAACGCTACATTTTTGCATGGCCACGCACGTCTGAGACGTCGAAGACAAGGCGCCCACCAAATTGATCACCCTCGTGTCCGTCGGGAAGTCCCGCGGTCTTCTCGACAAAAAAAGCGAACAGTCGCCCTATATGAAAAATTGTGCCTTCCATCTTTCGCTTTACTCCGGTGAAATCCATGACTTTGTCATTTTCCCGCGCGTTATTATCGCGTGGACGATCCCATTCCTTCTTCGGGGCGGCCACAACGTCCGCGTCGCTGGCAGCTTCCGCCTTTGTTCCTGGCCTTGCCACGCAAGCGTCCGCAGACAGATCTGCCGCCCACGCGAATGGGATCCCGATGGGGCTGGAAGTCGCGCGTTGATCCGCATTGCCCGTGAAGGGGCTGCAACGCGGTCGCAGGCTCGGTTCCTTTTCTCTTCGAGCAAAGCAGCTCGCATCTCGCGCCCGCAAGGGCATGCGTGGAACGCTGCGCCTTCCGGTCGCAGCCGCGCTGGCCACGCCTGCACGCTCCTCGGCATTCTCACCATCAGTCGGGGGACTCTTGTTCGCCCCGGGACCACTGGCTCTTTCGCGGCGCTCAATCAGTGATTTCGTCAGTTCCGTTCCTATGTAGTTATGAGCATGTGACACCATCTGCACCAGAATTCGTCTTCGAACTTCGGGCCTCGCCTGCAGCTGACACGGCATAGGTTGATGGTGGTCGAGGAATTTCTATGCCGATTTCTTTCAGAGGGTCGGCGTTTGGCCCGGGATCCAACAGACCACAGAAACCTTCAGCTTCAACTCTGCATTCAGCACGTGCCCTTTCTTGCAGGTCCCCCAATATTCCACCATCTGTCAGGGTGCGCGCCTGGACTGGCTCAACCCTTCTGCGCGCGCCCGCGCGTCGCCTCGCCATATTCGGGATCGAACGTCTTGACGGAGTCAGGCCTTCTGCGCGCAGGGCCGCAATAAAAACTCAACGCGTGTCTGTGTCCCCTCCGCTCTTCCAGTGAAGGGAAGCTGTTGCGCTTGCTCCTCCGGCGTCTTCCCACGGCCCCAGCTTTCTG